AGTACCATGGAAGTAGAAAACCAACATTAGGTAAACATCATAGTATTAATTCCTGTAGACAAGAACCGTCAATGGATTCTAAAATTAGTGAGTAAAAATGTATGATGAGAGAGAAAAATCTTTGCATAGTCTCAAAGCATTTCCTCATAAAATATCTGTTAATTGAAATGAAAAAAAAGTAGTAACTTTGCAGTGGAGAAACCTGGCATACACAACTTTAACCAAGTGATCGTATGTACCACCATCAGAAATAAGACATATTGACTTCACGTCCTACTGACATGATCCACTGAAAAGCACTCGTTGCCAAAAGCACACGACCCCAATCTAATCATGAGAAAATACTACACACATCCATACTGAGGACCTTTGTACAAAATTACAGTCTCATCTTCCTCAAATGTGTCTAGGTTATGACATACAAAGAAAGACTGAGAAACTCCCCCAGACTTAGGAGTTGGCACAGAGGCAAAGACACATGACAAATAAATGCAATATAGAATCTTGAATTGGATCTTGAACTAGAAAAAAGGGACGTTAGTGGGACGATTGGCAAAATTCAAATATGCTCTCCAGACTACTTAATAGTATTTACATATTTCAATAATTGTTATATCTACTAATGTTATAATAATGGTTATATAAGATGTTAACATGAGGAGAGCAAGGTAAGGTAAAGAATATACAAGAACTCTCTGTACTGCTGTTGCAAATTTCCTGTAAGTCTAAAATTACTTCAACATAAATAAAATTTTGGGAAAATTAAACAAACTTTACCAAAGATTTGTAACAGGCAGCTAACTTTTCAAAAACTTATTATTTTTTAATGAAAACTACCTTTATTACTTATAGACATGGGGGGGAGGTAATTAGGCTTATTTGTCTATTTTAATGGAGGCACTGGGGGTTGAACCCAGGATCTTGTATATGTTAGGTGTGTGCTCTACCACTGAGCTATACCCTCCCCCCCGGCAGCTAACCTTATGAAAATTATTTTGTCTTCTTAAATGACCAAACTATAAACTGAAGTCACAATAAGATTTTAACCCCTCATACCCACTCAAGTGAATAAAATTTAAAAAAATGACAATTTCAAATGTTGGTCATGATGGATAGTAATTAAAATATTATATGCCACTGTGGAGAGTGTGAAAAGTTTCTATTTCTTTGAAAGACTTCTTGACAGTTTCTTACAAAGTTAATCAAAATATCTTATAATTAAGCAAATAATCATTTTGAGGTAATTGCATAAGAGATTTACTAACATATTAAAAATAGTTAAAAACTGGAAAAAACTCACATGTCCATCAACAGAAGAATGGATAAACAAATTATAATATGTACTTTCAATGGAATGTTACTCTACAATTAAAAAGAAAAAAATATTTTTAACTTACTGGTATGGGAATAATGTGGATAAATCACAATATCATGATGATGAGTGGAAAAAGTCAGACACACTGTGTGGTTCCAATTAATCAATTGCAAGAAAAGGCAAAATTAATCTATGATGATAGAAATCAGATCATGGTTTCCTATCAGAGTTGGGCTTCTCTGGAAGGAGACAGTAGGGGAGGTTCTCAAGTAATAAAAAATAAAATTATACTTCCTGAATAAGGCAATAGTTACATGGGTATATACTTTTAAGAAAACTCATTGAATTACACAATTAAGGTCTATGCATTTAACTATGTAAATTTTACCTGTGTAAAAGTATAAATATTAAAAATAATAAGGAAGCTCCTCATTACTAAGATGATATTCTAGAAATATTAAAATATTTATATGTTACATGTATATAAAATAAAAGGAAGTACAGAACATTATAAAAGTATGTGTGTGTGTATCTATGTACATACTCACATACATTTTGGGATGTGTATATATGATGTGTGTTATACTCACATACATTTTGGGATGTGCCTATGCGATGTGTGTAGTGTATGTGTGCATATGTGTATGTCTGAAAGGAAAAACAAGAAACTGTAACACTAGTCTCCAGGAAAGGGAAATTGGGTGGTAATGGAAGACTGGATTGAAAAGATAAATGAATTACTTTTCACTGAAAATCCCTCTGCAAATTTTGAATTCTGTTAACATATATTATGATTTAAAAAAATTTAAAAAATGCTTCTGAGGGAAAAGCAGTGTTATGATTTCTCTACTTATTTAAAAATACTTTAAAAATACCATGAAGTGAACATGGCAAAATGTTCGTAATAGTGGAACCTGGGTTCCTGGTATTTGCAAGTTTTCTCCTCATACTCTGTAAGTTTAAAATGTGTCAATAATGAAACTTTATAAAATTCAGAACAGAGAAAATCTTTCATTACTAAGAACAAGGGAATATCAGTGGATTACACATGTTTAAGAATTTATTAGAAAAAAACACAATGGAATACAGAAACATATATAAATAAATTATAACATTAAAAAAAACACACTGATAAATTATACCAAAGAGCTGATTAGGGGAGAGGGAAACAGAGAGCTAGCGATGCTAAAAATTCATGAGTCAAACTTATTTCATTAAAAAAGATGTAGCAGAAATAACCAAAACTGGAATGAAAATGAATACTGAGACCAGAGAATTCAGTAGAGTGATGAAGGAACACTTTGTATTAATTCATCCTATTATATCTGAAAATCTGCTTGGATTGTGATTTTCTAGTAGAAAACAAGTTAAATAAAAGCTATAAAGCAATGAAAAATAAGAAAGAACCATAGGAAAAAGTGAGAATATTTTCCAGATAGTTAACTTCAGTTCTACTCCAAACCACCAAAAACAGTTCAGAAGAGGTAAATGATGTGCTCAGTTAACTGTTGATATTAACACTAAAGCTTTTCAACCCATTCTAGAACACAAAGCAAAAAGAAAACCCTTAAAATTATTTTAACACAACCATAAAATATAATATCCAAACATGACAAAAATAGAACAAAAAAGTAAATTACCGATCCCTTTCATTTAATAGTAACTTGAAGAAATTCCAAATCAAATTAAGATACTCATAATCCAGTAGTAAACTTTTAAAGTATAATTATTTGAACCAAAAATAGTTTGTTGAATGAACAATAAAAGGAAATTTCAATACTAAAAAATGAATTACTTCACAATGATAAAAGTTTACTTAAAGAATAATATACTTGTTTATACAAAAAGCATTTGACTACCCCCACCACTTGGCTTTGATTAAAATTCCTTAGACACAAATAAACAAACAAAATAAAAGGTGAGGGACTTTTCCTAACATGATATACAAAAATATCTCAAATTTAAAATTAGCATCTTACTTTGATGGCTGAGACCACCTACAACAAAATAACTTACCTGCAGGAACCAAGACCTGAACCACCCTCAGCAGGGTTCCTATAAACAAGATAGACCTGTAAACCAATAAATAATTTCAGTTTGCTCATCTAAGCAAATAACTCTTCCATCATTGATAACATCTTACTTGTATAGGGAAATAGCTCATTCATCAGACAAAAATTTGTCTAAACTCACATCAAGGTCCTCATCTTACTCTTTCACCAACTTTAAACTACTGCATGACAAATTTTTCCCTCTTGTAACCTGTTCCCTGTCTTGAAAATCCTGCCTTAAACCACATCAGCCTATCCCCCCCAAACTCCAATTATCTGCTTTTGAAATGCTGCTAAGCTTCGTCAAAATGGTGCTTTCCCTTGCTGCAGTAGGTTTAATACATTCAGTTTTGCTTGATCATGGGTGTTTCTGAGAGTCTTTTGGGGCAGTAGACCAGCAGCAACATGCTGGTCAAACACAAGAAGTATCCTTTAAAACCTTATTAAATCAAGGGTGGGTGGTATTTCCACAATTGTTTAAATGTTCTGAAAGTACCAGTCAGTGAATTTTATCAATATAGCTACCAGATCATTTGGAAGGGAAAAATCCCAATTATTAGTATTTGCAAAGGATTTAGTATACAATTTGAAAAAAAAAATCTGAAAAGCCATGAGAAAGAGTAAGGAGACCATTTACCCCCCAAAAACAAAATAAAACTTTCAGATACAGAAAAATTATCAAGTAAGAAAATAAACTGAAAGAAGATAGCCCCACCCAAAGTAAAAATATTAACACTAATTAAAATTATTGAATAAAAAGGAAGACGTACCTTGTTCTTGGATAGGAAGACATATTATTAAAAAACAATTCTCGCCTAAATTAATTTATTAAAATTGATGAAATTGCAGTGTAAACTGTAATTTCTTCCAACAAGAAGACACATGAGACAGGAGGCAGAAGAGACACACAGATCCACAGAACAAAAATGGAGCCAGTCACAAATGAGGGTACAGCATATATGCAAGATGGCATTACAGATAAATGGGCAATTATTGGCAAATAATCGCAAGTAATGGTAAATAACTGGACAACTTTAAGATTTCAAATTAAAAAAAATTTCCCATGACTTAAGAATTTGAATTTAAAAAGGACAAAAGAATTAGAAGTTAACATAGGTGAAGAGTTTTATGGGATCAGTAAAAATATCTTTCCAAAATGACATGAAACTCAGAAGCCATAGAAGCGAACATGGTTATACTCAGACATATAACAATCATACACATTCTTATAACAAAAATGAAGTTTAAAAGTGTGTAAAAAATATCTGTAATGCTTGACATTCCAAAGCTTATTCCCCCAATATAAATGAGCTCTTTGAAATCAGGAAGAGACCAAAACATCCCCCTACCCCCAAAATTGGACATAAAGAGAAAATTAAAAAATACAGATGGCTAATAAACATATGAAAAAAATGATCAAACTCAAAAAACAAAAGAAATACAATTTAAGACAATAGTTTGGGCTATCACACTGGCAAAGATTTTAAATATTCATAAAATTCATTATCTGGGAGGTTGTGGGAAAGCTGGCAATCTTATTCATTGCCATTTGAGGATAAAGTTGTTACCACATTTTTAAGGAAATCTTGTGATCATTTTCAAAGTTTGAAATGTGCATATACTTAATCCCAGTATTTCAACTGCTAAGTAATTTATTATGATATAATAGACAAATGCAAATAATTGATATATAGGGAAGTTCATTGCGCAGAAATTTGGTGCTAACATAAATATATATGAATGAGAAATGCTTAAACATTTAATTATTTTTCATATACAGAACAGTCATGCAGTCATTCAACAATGACACAGATATGTATTATTGAAACAGAAAAAGGGCATTGAAAAAACTGTTAAATGAAAGGAAATCTCAATGTGTACAATATAGCTCCACTTTCAGAACTCCCCCAAAATTGCTTGTGTGTGCATGTGTGTGTGTGTGCGCATCTATCTAATTAAAGAATGCACACAACTCCCTTAATAGAGGAAAACTCTGAGAGGATTGGGAGAGAGTAGGGCAGGGCACTTAATTTATATATTAGATGTCTAGATATGCTTTGAATTTTTGAAAAAAATTTAATAGATCTTATTTTTTAAGTTTACCACATGGCAAATGAATATTATAAATTTATTTATGGGAGCACTGAGAAATTCCATCATTTTGAGTTTCTTGTGCAATAATAGTTCCTCTACTGAGGCTCCTGGGATTGAGTCAAGTGGAAGCAAGGGAAACAGTCACCATGCCCAAATTAAAGTCTCATCGATGATATCCCAACATGAGCATTTCTCAGTTAAGCATTTCTTATCTGCAGGAGGTGTCCACTGCAACACAGGCGAGAGAAGAGTTCCCATGCGTAAAGAAGACTGTAGCATTGTTTGGGAGAAGCTGGTGGCAGAAGTAATGGCAACCACAGTAACAAATCCACCTTGTCTTTATGGTCATCACCTGCAAGGACACAGTGGGGAAAATTGACAAAGGTGAGGAACACATTTTTTCTAAGGGGCTGTGAAATCTTTGTACACTCTTCCTCTACATGTGCTGGGACAAATCTACCCAGAATACCCAGAGCCACATTTTCAGCAGCTGAGTGCCTGTTGTGGCCAGAAAAATGACTTTAAAACTCCCTAAAAACAAGGATGCCAAACACTTGTGATACTTTTTCTCCTTTACTTGGCTAAAAATTCATGGAGATCTCCAACTATCTCAGATTTTTTATCTGTCTTTTCTCCTCTGTGTTTGGCTCCTTAAAATTCTAGCTCACTCATTTATTTAATCAATTATTTCAGGCAAAACTACTTATCTACCCACCAGTCTAATAATTACTGAGAATCTACTATATCTCCCACACATAATAATTCTCTGGTAACACAATGGATCCAGCCAAGGAGTTTAGTTTATTGGATAAGAAAAGTTAAGGAAATCCTTTGTATTAACAGTAAACATAGTAACTGAGATATAGAAAAGCTATGAAGGTATGCAAGAAACACTGTATCTCTTCACTCATTATGCAGTTTGGCCCTGGGAGTCAATTAGAATGTAACCATAAGTCATCAATCTTCAGAAAATTAACGTCTATTTTTTCTACCTAGACATACTTGCGCTTAGAGAGCAAGGACTGTTCTGACAAAAATCTTACCTTCAGAGGGCAGCCCTTGGACAACAGGTAGGCAAAGGGCTCTGTCTGAAGAATCTTGTTTCAGGGATTTTCTGGTATCATTCATTCCCAAAAGAGTTCCCAAGAAGTCATCTTATAAGGGGGAGGAGAAAAAAAAAAGAAACACCACTTCCAATGAGAAAGGAAATTCAGCTAGAAGCTAGGAAGTTACTCTTTGGTACTCTTCCATATTGATTTCATTTGGAAGCTGGTTCCCACTCTGCTACACAGCTCTGGAATTATAGCCAGCCGCTACGTAACTCTGCACATTTCAACATCAGCACCTCGCATCACAGCCCTTTTTTCCTGTGCATTTCCAAACTGACTGGATGGCCTGGATCCCACTGAAAATTACATTTTTTTTATTGTTTACTTTTTCTGCTTAGTTGGCCAGGATATTTACAAAATCATTCTAATCTACGTATATATCTATTTTCAATAAAAGTTTATTGAGCGCCTACTGTATGCCTGATGACCCGTAAGGTGCTTGTGTCACAAAAATGAACTCAAAAACATCAAGGTCATAAGAAATTAAAACTGCATTTGATGAATGAATCGTACAAATAAAGAGCAGAGCAATAACTTAGTAAGTGGTCTTATAGAGGTAGATTTAGTTTTAGGATAGAGTAGTTGAGGAAAGACTCTCATTTAGGAAGATCTGTTATGGCCCAAACTCTAACTTCCCATTATTATTCTCATTCTCATCTGGCTCTTGGGTGTGTTTTTAATGCAATTTAGTTACAACCAAATGTCATTAAGCTTAAGAAGAGCAAAATCTATCAACGTCTATCTCTAATAAACATGCAGTTCCCTGCCCACGTAGCATACCTGCAGGTGTGTACAAAAGGTCACAGGTGGGAAGACAGAACACTGATGGAGAAGTATGCAGCCACTTTATTCTCTAGAGCTGACATTCAAGAGCTTCAGCAAATGCATAGACAGTTTTCCTTTCCTTCTAGGCTCTATCACCTGACAGGCAAAAAAAAAAAAGAGGAAAAAATAATATTTTAGGAAATGATATATGCAGATATAAATATAAATGCACCTACACGTATATATAAGTTATACTCAAGCACACATGCATGTAACCTAATTTAACAATAAAAAAATCATGTGTGGTTATTCTGTGCTACACACAGACTGAGAAGGTCGGACATTGCAAAGTTCTTTGTGTGTTATGTGCACAACCTTCATACATACATGGTTCTCCAATAGACTCAGAGAGTGGCTACCCAATAGTTACTTTAGCAAGATAAAATATTCCCATTCCATTAAGACTAAATGCTATAAGACAATTTTTTTTACTATTATGTAGAGATCAATGAAAATATGGTTTCTGTATTACAACCTGGTGAAGTCCAACAGAAGCTCCCAACAATTCCATTGGCAACAGAAAATTGTTTCTAGCTTACCAATTTTCAAAAGATCATCCTTAGGGAAAAAAAAATGCATGCCAATGATATCTAAATACCTAGAAAGATTGGATTGAACTAAATTACTTTTTTCCAAACAATAATCTAAAGTTTTCCCTAAAGAATACTCTAGTGAAAAGGTACAGTCCTGTGCAATAATCAGAAGTGTATTAACTATTCTTCATCTAAAAGACATCCATAAATACAGTATTTTTATCTATGATTTTGACAAAGGCATCTAACATAAATCATCATTTTTAAACAACCTTAATGTAACTATAATAGTCTAGATGTGACAAAACGAAGAACACACTTGATTACTGTATTCAGATTATTCTCACAAATGCAGAGAAAAATGGCTTACATGTGATTTACTGATCTCAACTTTGCTGATTACCCAATGAACAAATGTAAAACTGTGTATCTGTCTTGAAGTCCCTAATACTCTCTCTGAAGTCATCTGCAGAACACCATATCACAAATTTAATCAAATGTATTTACAGATTTTCTTCTATTATCTTATCAATCAATAAACATATTGAAATACTAGATTCATGTAAAGGTGTAAAATTTTAACTAGTACATTAAAGGATGTCCTTCCTGGACATCCTTTTTAGACATTTCCTCCTAGTCTTCATTCCTCCCTGCACCCTGCCCACAGGTATGCTGTATATCTGCTTATGTACTATGGCTGTTTGGCAGACCATGAACCACTGAAGTATTTAAGATTTCTTTTGATCCCCAAGAACCAATTTTTCGCCCCAGGAGGATGATATCGACTATGCACTGTGCATGTTATTTTTTTTTCATTTTTCAGTTTTATTAGGTAGAATTGTTACAATTTGACTGCAACATATACAATATATTGCATGTAAATACGTATACACAATATACTGCACAAATTTTTAAAATTTACATATATGTACTGTTCATTGTTTCACTCTAAGAACATTTAGAGCTTTAGCTTTTTAAACTTACATAGTTATCAAAGGAATAAAGCCAACCACAAAATAAGGTTTATTTCAAAAAGATACATACACCCTGCTGTTAACAGCAATATTATTTATAATTGCCAAGATATGGAAGTATCATAAATGTATGTTAATTTGAGAAAAATAACTAAATTGGGTAAGGAGTGCAGAGTGTCCTAGTCTGTCATGAACTGTGTTTGGGGGGCAGTTTCCCATTCTCTTCAAATGCTCTGCCAACAGGACACACTGCTGAGGTGTTAGGGATATTCTCTCAATCACACATCTCATTTTGGCCTAATATCATCTTCATTCCTAAAAGGAAGGAACTATTCAAGCACTCTTAATGCCCAATGCCTTCATGCTTTGAGCTAAGAACTGAAATGTCAAAAATCCTGGAATCTACAGGAATGGAAACCACGGAGGACTCATCATATTATTAATGTATGTGTTTGATGTGATTACAAGTCCTCCCAAAATAGATTAAACCACTGACAAGTGAAAACAAACAAACCACTGCTTAGCAACAGATAAATTTGAATGAGTGATGGTATATTGTCAAGAGGTCTTCTGGAAACTTCACAGAGGTAAGTGTTGGTAACAATAAGAATCTAAATATCAATGGCATGTTACTGAGTTTAAAGGGCAACTAGAACCTTGCTTTCCTCCATAACCACCTTCCCTCAAGAAAACAGTGAGATAAACGAGAGCTTGCCTGATGGAATATACAGAATCCGTAGCGATGCCCCCTCTTTCACTCCTAATTTTAGTGATTACATCTTCTCACTTTGTTTCTTGGTCAGTCTAACTAAAGTCTCATCAATTTCATTAATCGGTAGAAATCTAACTTTTGGTTTCATGGGTTTTCCCTGCAGTTATTTGGGATGTTATTTTGATGTCATTGACCTTTGCTCAGACCTTTATTATTTAGTTCCTTTTCCTTGATTTGGGTTTAATTTTCTAATTTAGTCTCTTTCTTGTTTCTTAGGGTTGAAGCTTAGATTACTTATTCGATATAGTTCCTCTTTTCTGATATAATAATTTAAAATGATAAGTTTCATTCTAGCCATGACTTTAGTTGTATCTCCACTTAGTTCTACATGTTCTTATAATTTTCTTGGATCCATGGATTCTTGTAAAATATGTTAATTTCCAAAAATTTAGAAATTTCCCAGATTGATTTGTTTTGATTTCTAATTTAATTCTCCTGTGGTCATAGAACATACTCTACATGAGCTCAGTCTCTTCTAAGGTTCATTGATTTCATGTTTATAACTTAGCATACGATCTATGCTGGAGAACATTCCATATGTATTTGAAAATAAATTGTGTCCTGCTGTTGTTGGGTGAAGCATTCTACATATGTCAGATCAAGCTGGGTGATAAGAGTGCTCAAGTATGCTGTAACCACTGATTCTCTACAGTGATCTATCAATTGTTAAGGCGAGGGTACTGAAGAGTCCAGATATCATCACTGAGTTGGCTAGTTACGCCTTCAAGCACGTCAGTTTTTGCTTTATGTAATTTGAGACCCTGTTGTTAGGTAACAATGTTTATAACTGTTATGTATTCCAGTTTAATTAGACCTTCTATCACATAACATCCTTCTTCACTTCTAGTAACATTTTACCAAAGACTATTCTTTCTTATGTCGGAATAGCCACTTCAGCTCTCTTCTGGGTATTATCTGCATGGCATAATTTTCCCATCCTTTTGCTTTCAAACAGTTTGTGTTTTTGTTCTAAAGTGTCTCTCTCATAAACAATGTATACCTTTAATTTTTTAAAATGGAATCCCCTAGTTCCTGTCTTTTAAATTTACTATTATGTGGTTGGATTTATGTCTGCTATTTTCCTGTATGTTTTCTAGATGTCTTATACCTTTTTGGTTTATCTGTTCATTCTTAGCTGCCTTTTTTGGTATTAGATTTTCCCCTATTGTACTATTTTCAATGGCTCTGGCATGTTTAGAAAAGCAACTATGAGCCTGAAATAGGACGTATACTAAACACCAAGAATTCCATCACCACTGGACACAGCAATCATGCCATTATGTCATGGAGACCAGCAAACACAATCAGTGACCCAGTTTCATGTTTGACTAACTTAGTCAGACTCTCATTGTCATTGGAGCATTGCAATTCCCTAAGATAATATCAGTGTTCTTAGGACAAAATGCTTACCTTTTTGAGAATTAACACAGGCCTCTTAGGATGGGAGAAATAATTATTCCCAACACTTTCCTGTATGTCTTATCTCAAGGGGAAGCAATAAATCTTATCCATATGAAACCCAGTTTTTGGTCCAAGCCAACCTGTGGGAAAGAATAAATGTGTGTCAAGATGACAAGCAGAATGAGTCCATTTGTCAACTAAATATAAGACAGAAGCGTTCACTATGTATATGCATATAATACAAATTAATTTATCACTCAAATGAGATCTTTCTGATATTATTCAAAAGGAAGATAGTGCAAAAATTCGAGGAAAGGAGTATCTCATATGACTCACCAGATTATTAATGCCTCACACTCTTTGGGTTTTAACAGACACTTCACAAAAGCAATACAATTCTAAATTACTTAATAAAATAATAATAAACTATCTAGGAATATACATTTATTAAAATTGGAAATTACCTCTGGAGTGCATTGTTCTGATTTTTCCCAGAGAAAGAAGCTGGTCCAAGTGACAAAAAATGGCACTTTAGGGTGGCAGTGAGAATTTCAGGCAGCAAAATATCCCTTCTCTCCAACATCACTTTCAATCTACAAGGTACAAAGGAAATTAGGGAGTATACAAACAAAACTTTCCTAATGGAATATTTAGTAACAAGTTGCTATAAGGAATACATTAAAGATATTCACTGGGTGATCAATATGACAAGAACAATAATTGCTTGCTCCTTGGAACATGTTAGTTTAGAAAAATTTTTTCATCCTCCATAACTTTATTCATTTCAACTAGGATCTTTCTTTAACACATTAGAAGTCCATTGAGGGTATATACAAGTGGTTACGGAAATCCATGTTTAAAAAAAAAGCCAAGAACTAGAAATTTAATCATTTTACATCTGAAAATGTTTAATACGTTATGTGGTTGAAGCCAGTACTCAGGTGTTGCTCACTCAGTTGATGAGAAAAACAAACAAACAAAAAATCCAGTAATTCAAATCCCAGTGACTGGTTGGCAAGTAAATTAAAATATATTGCAAGGATTCCACATATGATACTTACTTTTGAATTATCATATATTTGTTTCACTTACTGGAGAAAAGTAAAGATTCACAATCAGTTTGTAGTTTGACCGTCTGTAAATAGTCCTCAAGAGGCCGATCATCATTCAGAAGCTTCCAGCAGCTCAGACAGCTATGTGAATGGCTCAAGTGCAGGGACAACCATTTGTAGAATTTTCATGACTCGTGTGCGAATTCCCCAGGGTCTGTTTACTACGAGTATATTTATGCTACCAGCTGATGACTCAAAGAGTAGCAACTTCATCCCCAAATTAGATACGTGTAGACACTGTGCAATTCAGTTCCTCTAATGCACGTGAGCTGCTTAGCTTTCCAACACCACAGTGCTTTCTGGGACCATGCCGATAAAAAACACTGATCTGTAAACATTTTGTTGGGTGTAGGTATCTCTGCTGGACCTCAGTTTCACAGAAGATTGTGGATCTCATTTTGTTCAGATTTTCAAATGTGACCCACTATTAGAGTCATCATTGATAACAAGAGTTTCTAAAATAGGGCAACTGTTCAGCTCAGAAAGTGAAAGAAACTCCAAAGTTCATCACTAACCCACCCTCTGCAGTCACGGAGAAGACCCCTCATCAATGGTCCAGGCTCCACAGCTATCGTAGACGTGCCTTGCAGTATGTGGAGTGTTACAAGATCCTTAGAAGGAATGTCAGTATTCTAGGGACATACTACCCTGAGGATTCCCACTGGCCTCTGAGGATGGGCCTTTCCTTCATTCGTATCTCAAGGGAAGGAATAAACATTTTCATCTGAAACCCGAGCTCTATCCTTTTTGACCTGTGGGAATAGAACAAAAATGTGGAAAGATTAGAAGCAAACCTGTTCATTGGTCTGTCAGGCACAAGACAGTAGGGTTCAACATGTTCCTTCCTGCTAAATAAGCTAATGAATTGCACTACTGGGATATTTCTAATGTTATTCTAACAATATTAATTGTGTCAGTCTCTGGCCTCCATAAGAGCAAATATTGTTCAACATTTTCTGCCAGACAAATGAAATATGCAGTCAGACTGTCTGAATGTGCTTAAAATTCCAGGAAAATGTTGGCCTGGTGAACAAGTCGATCCCAACAACATGCATGTATTTCTGTAAATTCAATCTCAGAATTATTTTATCCCCAAAGATGATCCAGTGGCTTGGGGAGGAGGAAACTGCAAGAAGCTATGATAGGAAAATAAAGAACAGTCACCTAAAATCACCTGCAGCACTTAACCTGCCTGAGCTCGGGAACCTGGCAGTTTGCAGAGGATGCACAGGGTTATCCAGTGCCTGATGCTACACAGTATGGTCACAGCAATGCAGGCAGGACTCGCACAGGCACAACAATTACAGACATGTGACTAGAGGGGTTGGGACTGGGCAGAGAGGATAAGTCAGATGCTGAGGCCTCTCACCATGAAATATTTCCTGTCCTAATGTCAGGGAGATGCTCAACGGGCCACATAGCTAAGGGTTCAGTGACATCTGGGCAAGCACATCCTTCAGTAGAAAAAACTTCTCTCTGGCACAGTGGTGAGGAACAGCCCTGACATCACCTCCACACTTAATTCCCATATGAGGCATCCGCAGGAAGACTGAGAAAATACAGAAATTCTGGAAAAGAACAAAAAAGGAGCCTCAAAGAATCACCAGATTATTAAGGCCTCACACTGTTGAATGGACAGACTCTAGTTAAGTTCTTGATTACTTAAAAATAATTACAACAACCCAGGGAAAATTTATAAAAAATGAGAGTGCATCATTGTATTTCTTCTCAGATAAGGGAGCTGGTAGAAATAACAAAGCCATCTCTGCCTTGGTGAGGTGGCTGAGAATCCCATGCAATTCCAGTGCTTTTTCCAACCTACAAGCCACAGAGGAAATTAGAGTTATTGAGAAGGAAAACCTTGCGAATTGAATATTAATTGAGAAGAAGTTATAAGGAATTAATTATATACATTTGCTGACCAACTGTGTGGCATGACAAAAATACACATGTTCCATGGAACAGGAGACTATAGAAAGTTGTTTGTCCTAAGACCTGGCCAAAGTTTCTCTAAAGGACCCTCAGTATCACTCATTAAAACTGGGATCTCCCTTAAGATACATATGAAACAGACTAAAGGAATATGAATATTAACCAATAAAATGCCAAGAATTGAAAAAGCAACAATTTCACAATTAAAAAGATTGAGTGCCCATCTACTTGAATCTATCATCCAAATGTCTAGAAAGTTTATTGTTGGGTGAAAAGAAAAAAGAGTTCTTGAATTCTTATGACTGAGCTAATAGTCAAGTCAAACTATGCTCTAAGATATTCCTGTAGATAGAAACTACTTTTAAATTTCCATATATTTGCTTTATCCAAAAAATTGATAAGTAAAGACATAGTATCTTTTGCAGTGACTATGTAATCGATAGACTACCACTCACTAACCAGACTGCAGCATCTAAGAAAGTTGTGCGAACGGCTCAAAGTAGACAAAAACATATCTCCTGGGTCTCACTACTCATGTGCTGGTTCCCAGAGTCTGATGACTGTGAGTGAGTGGATGGTGCCATGCCATCATCCCTAAACCAGACATTTATGTACCTCTGTACAACTCATTTCCCTTAATATATGCAGTCAGGTGAGCTTTCAAACACTCTAGTCCTGGCTGGTACTGCTACTAGACCAGCTGAACGCCCCCCACAATTTTGCCTCCTATGGTCCAAGAGAGGGACCTTAGCTGACATGTGACCATGCCACTCAGTTTGTTCATATTCCAATGAGATCCAGATTCGAAGTCATAAATGATCCAGGCACATTAGGAAAAGGGGCTTTGATACTAAGGTATGTGGTAGGCACTGAGCACTCAGGGTTCTGATACCTTTAGACAAGCTGACCTACAGTATTCAATGATGGAGACCAGTCATCACAGTCAGTGACACTCTCATGACTGACCAGCACAGCCAGAGTTGCACTGTCATATGCATGTTACAGTGTCCTAAGAGGAATGCCAGTATTTTCAGGACAAAAGGCTTACTGATGTTAGAACTCCCACTGGTTCTTGAGGATGAGATTATGAAACTTTTTTTTAATACTTTCCTTCATGTCACCTCTCAAGAGGAAGAAATAAGCTCTTTCATATGAAACTCAGCTACTGGTCAATACCTGTGGAAATAGAGTAAAAATATAGAAAAATGAGATTATATATGTCTATTTGTCAAAAATTCACAAAACAAGAGGTTTTATTATGTACCTTCATATCATTATACTCATATTACTGAAATAGAATGTTTCACAAAAAGGAGACAAAAATATTGGACAACTTGCTGGATAATTAATAACTCACATTATTTGGATTAACAGATACTTTACAAAACCAATTATCTACTTGATTACAAATCATAAAAAGGAAATTTGTTTAAAATTGGTTATTACCTTTGGAGTGCATTGTTTTGTTTTATCCCAGGAAAGGGAACAGGTGAGAACAACAAAACCAACACCTGTTTATGGTGGTGAGTATTCCATGTAATTCCCAAATCATTTCCAGTCTACAAAGCACAGAGGAAACAAAGGAAGTTGTGAAACAAAACCTTCTCAGTTGAATGTTAACTGACAAAAGTAATAAGGAATTAACTACAGAATTCACTTGAACATCTATATAAGTAGAAAAATTGTTTGTTGCCTAGAAAAGGGTAGTTATAGAAAATCAATTTTTCTAAGACCTTGTTCACAAATTTGACTAAAAATTCCCTCTATTATTTACTGAAGTTAAAACTTCCCTTTAAACATATAAACCCATTGAAAGAATATGAATATTAGCCAATGATATCCACATAAAATTCCAAGAATTGGAAATTTGATCATTTCATGTTAAATGTGTTTAATGAAGTATCTAATTTAATCCATAATCAAATATCTAGAAAATTTCTCCCTGAGTGACAAGAAAAATCTTACTCTAATCTTTTGACGGGTTAGCAAGCAAATTAAAACAGGTCATAAGCTAATGTGATCAATACAATCAACTCTTCAATTTTCCATATTTCTTTTACTTAAGAGGTAAATGACAAGCAAAAACTAATCATTTCTTTCTAACTGACTGTCTAACAGACCTAAACACGCTGAGCACCACAACAGGCTGTAACATCTAACGGAGCTGTGTGAATGGCTCAAGTGTAAGCACAACCATTCCCCACAGGGTCCATTACTCTTGTGCTTGTTCTCCATGGTTGTGAGGGTGCTGCCTGCCAGTCACTCAAAGATTTGTCATTCTACAGTGGTGACCTAGTCCCTGTATAATTCATTTCCTTTAGTGTATGCCAACATTGTAGTTTTCCAAAATTGTCGTCCATTTTGGGAGGCACCACTAGCTGAGCAAATGGAATATTCCTCCACACTTCTGCCTAGCATGGTCTCTTGTGCTGGACCTCAGTTCACATAAGTGATTCTGTCACTCATTTTGTTCATATTCCAAGGAGATCCATTTTTGAAGTCATCATCGATTCAGGCACATTTGTACAAGAGAGCTTGATCCTGAGATATGTGGCAGACACAGAGCTCCCAGGACCCCCTTTCCCTGGGACACACTGGTCCACACTATTCAACCATGGAGGCCAGCATCACTGATGACTCCATGGCTGGCTAGCACAGCCAGAGTCTCATTGTCACTGAGGGGTTACAATTCCCTGAGTGGAATGTCAGTATCTTCAGGACAAATTGCTTACCAGTATAAAAATTCCCAGTGGCCCATAAAGACGAGAGGCAGAATTATTCTTGAAATTCTTCTTCATGTCTGATCTCAAGAGGAGGGAAAAAACTCATTCATGTGAAACCCAGCTCTTGGTCCATCTTGAACTGTAGAGTAAATATATGTAGTAATAGAGTAAATGTATGTAGTAATAGAGTAAATATAAGTAAAGATGAGAAATAATAATGGCCATGTATCAACCAAGCAAAAGATTAATTCACTGTGCACCTGCATTTACCTATATTAATTCATTTCTTTACTTAGGTGTTTTAAACTATTCATCTCAGCAAAGAAAGAGCAAAAATTCTGGAAATAAAGGAGACACAAAGCATGAATAACTCACCATGTTATTAATGCCTCACAGTATTTGAATTTACAGTCTTCAAAAACCATATGAATTCCTGATTTCTTAGAAATGAATGAATTATCCTGCAAAAAACTTATTGAAAATTGTGTTGTTGTCTCTGAAACACTATTCTTGTTATTCCCAGTTGAGAAAGCTGCTACCAATGACAAAACCAGCCCTTCTTTGGTGTGGTGGTGAGAATTCTGAGCGACAAAATGCACCTTCCATTCAACGTCACTTCCAACTACAAAGCACAAGAGAAATTAGTGAAGTTGAGAAACAAAATCTTCTTAATGGAATGTCAAATATTAAAAGCTTACATAACATTGACCCTAGATAGTCACTCGACTAGCTACATTAACAAAGAGTTACATTCACTCTTTGGAACATAGTGATACACAGATTAATTTTTATAAGACATTAGTCTCAAAGTTCCCCAGTGCACATGCCTCAGAACCATGCATTATAACCAATATCTCTCTTACACACATTTAAAACACATTGAGGGTGGAAGACATGAAATCTATATAAAAACACAAGAAGTTCATTACCTATGGTCACAATGACTTGCCCTATTCAGTCATGGAGATCCAATGTCACAGCCACTTCCCTAGGCTCCAGCATATCAAAGACTTACTATTATTGGGATATTACATTGCCCCTAAGAGGAAGGTAGTTTTCTCAGGACAAAATGCTTACCAGTTTGAGAATGGACCTTAAGGATGGGAAGGCAGGATTATTCTCAATATGCTCCTTCATTTCACCTCTCTTTCATATGAAACCCAGCACTTGACCCAT